AGATATGTCATATTTATTATGCTAATAGCAGAATATAATGAATCTTATAGTCGTCTAAAGAATTTGAAGTCATATACTTTGAAATGTTCCACGATTATCATGCATTACTATTTTAACACCGGGAATGCCGTCCTCGTAGTCGCAACAGCGCATGGAAATACAACACGTCCGCACGCCAAATCCTTTATTTCAAGAGAGCACTCTCTCAACAAAGAAGTGAAAGAAACGGTTCATACACATGTTCGTGCCCCAAGGGTTATTGAAGACGAAAAATCGAAGTATCTGAATTAACTTGATTCTCCATTACAGTCAACCACTATTCGGGATACCAAGCAGCTGTATAATTACCGTTATTTGTATGGGGAAACAAAAACCAGATCTAGTATCGATCAAATTCAGGAAGTTATCCTTAAACTCCTTGAGCAAAGACCCACTGCTGACGAAATGGACCCAGATTTGCTTGACAAGAATCAAGCATTCATCAGCAAATCCCAGGTTTACTACGCCTTTGGCTTGTGACACTACATTAAACATTGCAAATCATCTCGTGACACAAACGACCTACAAGCAGATGTCAGTCATTGGAAGAGAGAGTTTAAGGAATCCCTGGTTTCCAGGACCATTTCTGATCCATCGAAATCAATCAGCGCAGGATTTCGCATATTTTTGGCAAGCAGTGAAAAGAGGGAATCCGGCTCTTGCCAACATCCTTGCTTTTGGTACAGATGAAGACGAAGCACTTTCTAGCGGGATTCTTAAGGAAACGAGTGGAAAGACCATTTACCTTTTGGGCAAAGAGCATGCCCAAGCAAATGTAGATAAAAAATTGCAGTCGTTAAATTTTCCTTCAATCCAAAAAAAAATTATCCTGAGTGATATTTTCGGTGGTGCCACGTGCAAAGAAGAAGATACGGAAGCGAAAGTACTCATATTTACAACCGTAAGCTATTGCAACTGAAATCAAAATGGCTTCAAATAGAAAAGGAACACACCAGCAATCGTCCCGCGAGTCAGTTCGTGGATTATTTTGAAACTCATAAAGAGAAGCAAATGAGGGACAAAATGATTAAAAACGTTCGAAAGCAAGCTTCCATTGACGGAGTGTGCGGCCAAAATCCAATTGAGTAGCAAAACGTCTTGTCAAAAGATGAAATATCCGCCCACGTGCATTCAGAGGGTCGTAGTCATCGAGACGCGACACTTTCAGAGTGCCTAGATGCCTTGAAAGCATGCAGTATCCGTTTATTTAGCAATGTTGTCAAAGCCATATATGATGACGGTCCTTACGTCCTAGCACCAGCTTACCACATGTTTCGTAAAACATATGCCGATTGGAAAGGCATGTCATCAGACGAACGAAAGATGCACATCGCAGCATTCATGGCTTACATTGCTACCGACGATGTACTCTTGCGCTCCGGAGTTCGAAGTGCAGAAAACAAGGAATCCATTCCAACTATTTCCCTGTTAGATGACGAATCACCTGGTTTATCTACGTCAGCACCTAAACAAGATTATCTTCAAGTGTCACAACAAATCTCGAATTCTCCTCCACCAAATTTCTACCATCGGTCCAAGCCAGAGGTTAAAGGCCACGACGTTCTAGACAAACCACGACGCACGCTTTCGTATCGCTTCAAGAAGCTTCGGTTCTAAATGATGTTTTGCCTCCTCACCTTTTAGCAGATGCTTTTAATAAAGCCTTAATTTTTGGGTACAGTTAATAAGAAACGCGATGCGACTTTAATTGTGACAAGTATACTCAGTTCAACACTTGGTTTATTATGGAATAAGGTCATAGCCTCGACGGCAGACAAACTGAAAGACGGCGAAATTCGTAAGATTGTCGTACGCGAGTTATAATGATATCAAGTCTAAAATCGATGGCCTTTCTAGATCAACTTCACTCGCCAGTTATAATTTTCTAGAAGAAGGAATAGAGTTACTCAGTGTTTCTCTCGATAAATCAAATCTTTAGCAGAAAGAGAGCGAAACTCAGGACGAACCAGGTGAACTTTCGAGCGTTATTCTGTCTGGTATCTTAAACCAAGCAATAGAGCTTCCTCCAGCCAGGAAAAAGCTTAAAATCAACTCGGACAGAGAGTTAGAAACTCCGAGAAAAAGATTCGAGGAAGCGCGCAAGGCAGCAACCACTGCTTTCTGGAATGAGGCATTTAGTATCGAAGATCGAATTTTTTGCAGCGAAGCTACGAATAGTTTCAAAAATAGTGGAACATCTCGATTATCCTGAGACCGCAATCACCGAATGTTTATCGTTTTGGAAGAAGCTGCATAGCTTACAAGCCATTCAACTGATTCAAGAGATATTCTCAGTGTCTTTGAACGATGGAGTCAAATCGTTGTTGAATAAAACTCAACGGGTGGAGAACGTCTGTCGGTTATGTTAATCAACTATGTGTTGTTTCAATATGTTTGCAAATTCAGTAATAAATGTTCATTTGAAGTGTCCGCCTGCATGCCAACGATTGAACTTCCCACTCGCAGTTTTCATTCAATAATAAGCTGGCACGAAATTTCAGCAAGAAATTCTATAAAAGAGGAATTGCCTCATCCTCCAAACGAACAGACCCTTCATGAAAAAAAAGAGCTTCTCCATATGCTGTGAACAGTCAGGGGGTGTTCTTACTTTCCCTCGTACTCCGCCTTATGAGAAAATTATGATTATCCAGAAGGAAGGAAAAATTAAACGGATTGAATTACCTGAATTTACAGGCAATATTTTAATGGCCCTTTCTGTTGATATCAATAACAATGTTTACGTGCTAAAAACATACTGGTGAAGGATTCCTGTTGACGATATTGAACGAGAATTACAATGTAAAAGCAGAAGACAAATTAGATTTGCTCGAGGACAAAATATCTTCTGTAGTTAGAATCGCAATATGCAAAGACGATGATGTCATCATCATCCAACACAGAGGCCTAATGTGTATGTTTGTAACAAGATGTGTCAATTGAAATACAAATTTGACAACGACTCAAGTGAGGCATTTTCATTGAGTATTTCCCAGCAGAATGAAATCATGATACCAACAAACGATCATACGGCAGTTCAAATATACACCAAGGAAGGAAATCTGAAGACAACAATAAAAGTCCCAGACCATCATAAAGTTGTCAGAGTGGCATTTCACTAGGTTATTTGTAAAATATTGGTTCTAACCGTGGTAGGGGAAAAAATTCCTATTTCTTTCTGCGCTACCCTGAAGCAGGCGGGAAGCTGGAAACTCTTACCTTCTTTTGTAAAGTTGTCGATGTGCAGTATCCATATCTGGTATCCCATCCCAATGGCCCTATTGTTGTTGTAAGAGAAGGAAACTTCACTTACCTATGATGAGACTCAATTGTTATAAACAACCATTTTCTGCCTAAAACACAGTAAGTAAGGAACACAAGCGTAACTTATATTTAAATATTGATCCAAAAAACGTTCTTTGATCTTAAAATTAAATTAAAGATAATCATGTTTTTGTCTATCGTTTTATGCCAAATTTTTCCAGGCTTATTTTTTCGGTGAAGCCAAAAAACGAATTAATAATTATGACGAAGTTTCTATCCCATGTGCATGATGATACGATTTTAATTCAACGCCAATGTTTCTTCATATGAATTGATTTTTGTATCAAATAACCGAAGACATGCGGATCTCGTTCAAGTAAACTTTCCTATTCATAATGGAATATTGAGGGTACGTGACATTTTACTAAACCTTTGTGACGATTTGCTGACAAGTGCAATTTTCGTAATTCGGGTGTTTGTGTACATTGACATATTCCAACTTCGCAGGCCAGGCTATTCTACCTACGCTCCACGACCCACGCTGCGGCAAAAACCCTGGTTAAGGCTGGTCATGTGACAGCGCAAAAATTTTTAATTAGCGGTTAGTTCATATGCAAGGGAGGGGCGGAAAAGGGCTATCTTTAAAGGCTAGTTTCCACTCAGGAAAATTCTCCTTTGGATCGGAGGGGACGGAAAAGTTTCTTTTGTATAAACGCCGCCTGAGAACTCAGCGACAAAAGAAATTTTACTGTCCATTCCGATCCAAAAGAGATTTTTCCTGAGTGGAAACTAGCCTTAAAACCAGTTACGGGGAATCGAGGAAGGGAACGGGGGACGATAAAACAAGGAATAGGAAAAGCCAGAATCTTTAAAACAAGGAAAGGGAAAAGCCGGAATCTTTAAATCAAGGAATGAGAAAAGCCGGAATCTTAAAAACAAAGAATGGGAAGAGCCGGGATCTTTAAAACAAGGAACGAGGAAAGCCGGAATCGTTAAAACAAGGATAGAGAAAAGCCGGAATCTTACGGCTGGAAGTTTGTAACTAAATTAGTTACTCAATTTCCGCGCGAAATACAAAATATGGCAATTTGGCATGCCTATATTTCCGTATTTTACCAATTAAAGTTGTCAAAGATCTTTTCCGTCAGTTCACTCAATTGCTTTCAAAGAAGATGCTCGAAAATTTTGTCAACGGTTATCAGTATGTGTTTCGTCGGAACCAAGACGACCGGTTAGCAAGTAATCTCAGACATTAAACCAAAGAAGTCTCGCAAATCGCATTATAAATTATATAATAACAATTCGATCTAAATAGAGCAAATTAATACAAAGAAATATTAAAGTAAACATGCATATAAGCCTATAAATGTTCGCACGTGTGGCGTATAAATTACCCATACAATGCATAAATTCTGCGTAAACAAACTAGAATATAAAGTCAATGTCTTACTTCTGTGGCGAGATCCTTTAGCTGTCTATTTCATCGTTTATCGTTCAGGTTAGCCCGTCTTTCTTTCATTTACTTATTTAACAAAACATGCGTTATATTTACACCTTTTCCGTCTCGCTGTGCGTCTATATGCTAATGCTATGATTGCTATTTGATACCTAATATTGTCATCATAGTTTCAAAGTTCAATTATAATGAGTTCCATTCGTGTCTACGCACGTGTATATAAACTGTCAATCCACTCTCCCCCCGATGAGGACTCTTCCTCATCACTTAATGTTACTAATTGTGAGTTACTTATCTTCATATCCTTCTGCAGGGTACAGTACTGCGACTTTTGTAATAGGTCTTTCGTAGTGCGATGTGGATGTCTTCACCTTAACGTTACGAATTCGTCCGTCATTTCCAGGATATACATTAACAATTCTGCCCGTAGTCCAGTTTCCACGAATCGCATTCGTATCTTGAACCACGACGATGTCATCCACTCGTACATTTCTTTTTTCAGTAGTCCATTTCTTTCTGGGAACTAAGGTGGGAAATACATCTCTGCTCCAACGCTTCCAAAAACTATCGATGATCTTCTGGACAAATTCAACACGATGTTGAGGATTCTTCGTTTCTCTGAATGGCCCTTGTGGTACCATTGTTGATGCTCGACCAAGTAAAATGTCGTTTGGACAAAGGAAAGAACCGTCATCTGGATCATTGGGGATCCTTCCAATAGGACGCTGATTAATCAGGTTACTAACTTCCAGCAAGCATGTGTACAGCTCGAACGGAGCCAAAATTTGTTCACCAATCGCGATCTTTAATGCTTTCTTCGAACTCTTGACAAGAGCCTCAGCACAACCGTTATGATGTGGTGCTGCAGGAGTAATAAATCTCCACTCCATTCCTTTCTCGGCGCTGAATTCCTTCAACTCTTTCTCGTTCCATCCTTCTATCATTTCTCGGAGTTCACGTTGAGCTCCCACCAGCTGCGTCCCGTTGTCACTGATCATCAGAGCCGGTTGTCCACGGATTGCGAAAAATCGACGTAAGGTTTGCAAGAATTCCATAGCGGAATAGTCCACTGCGATTTCCAGGTGTACGGCACGAGTATTCAGACATGTAAACAGTACGCCATAGTGTTTGGTTGTTTTGTTTCGGCCAATTTTAACTTGGTAAGGACCGAAGTAATCGCATGCCGTGCGATGAAAGGGTGGTGTGAATGGCTCCAGTCGGGTAATTGGTAGGTCTGACATGAACTGCTCCTCGGTTTTGGCTTGGATTCGGCGACAACATACGCATCGGAACTTTATTGACTTGGCAAGATCATGACATCGGATAATCCAAAACTTTTTCTTGATCTTTGCAACGGTTGTTGCAACTCCTGAGTGGCCGTTTCGATGGAAGTTACGAGTGATCAGCAGGGATATCCAGTGTTCACGTGGGAGTAAAACTGGATGTTTGGCATCGTACGAGATTACGGCTTCGCTTACTCGACCTCCGACTCTGATAACTCCGTTGTCATCGGTAAACGGGGTGAGTCCTTTCAGTTCTCCCTTTTTCAGGCGATCATGAAGTGACTTCTGACTTTGTTTGACCCAATACAACTCGGCATCTTCTAACTCCTTTGCTGAGATTGATCTATCATCTGAGGTGTCTTTCGGTCGGGTCGTTTCTGTGTTGTCTTTGTTTTGATGCTTGTTTCGTAGCGTGTTGATGAACCGTAACACATAGGCTGTGACTCGGATAAGTTTCCCCCAACTGGAAAACTTCTTGCACGGAATGACTTCTGGCGATTGGGTTACTTGAAAGACAGGTTGAACTTTTCGACGTTCAGACTGATCGATATCCACGCTTTTAGTGATGGTAGCAGAAGACGACTCGCTCGGCCATTCTTCCTCCGGTAACTTCAGAAACTCGGGGCCATACTTCCATCTGCCTGTCAGTTGCAGAGCAGGTATTCCTCGCGACACATCATCAGCGACATTTAGCTCTCCAGGAACGTGTCTCCACTGATCTGGTTCAGACTTGCTCTGGATTTCGGCAATTCGGGCTGAAACGAACGGCTTAAACTCTCTGGGTTGGTTACGGATCCATGAAAGAACAATGTGGCTGTCAGAGAAGAAAATTATCTTCACAAACTTCATTCGAGACTCTTCGAGAATAGAACAACATAATCGTGTCGCCAGGACAGCTGCTTGTAGCTCTAAACGAGGTATGGTCAGCGACTTCAGTGGGGCTACTCTTGACTTTGCTGCGATGAACCTGGTTACAAAGGTGTTGTTTTCTGTCTCCCATCTGATGTAAGCACATGCTCCGAAGGCTTCAATCGATGCGTCCGAGAAAATGCATAGTACTGGCGCTCCGATCACGGAATCTGGCGTAAGAGACCTTTCGAAGGTGACGTTGTTCAGGTCGTTCATCTCTTGGAAGAATCGTATCCACGTTATTTGGAGATTCGGCGGCAATTCATCATCCCATTGTAGTCCTTCTAACCACAGTTTTTGCATCTCTATTTTGGCGCGAATCAGGAAAGCTGCAGCTACTCCTAGAGGATCGTAGATCCGAGCTACTTGGCTTAGTATTGCTCTCTTCGTAAGTTTAACTAGTTCAGGAGGAATCACTTTGAACCCAAAAACGTCGTCGTGGTGGTTCCAGACAGTTCCCAAAACTTTCTCTTCAACTGGGCCTTGTAGGAGCTTTAATTCCAATTCACTTTTTTCAATAACGCTTTCATCATTCTTCTTTAATGACCGGTTTGAGAGCCAACACTTCACGTTAAAACCACCGTTGCGAAGGATTTCGTCAATCTCTGCTGTTATTTTTCTTGCTTGATTTTCAGAATGGACCGAATCGCATATGTCGTCCATGTAAGTATTCTTCTTTAAGACTTCAGCAGCTGCAGGGTAGCGTTTTTCTCCTTCTTCAGCAGTCTTTTGCAGCGCGGTCTGTGCCATGGCTGGGGCTGGTTTGTCACCAAATGTCAAGACTGTTTTGACATAAACATCAGGTTCTCGATCCGTATCCATGTTTCTCCACAGGTATCGGTGAACATGTTGATCTCTTTCCGGGATTAGGATTCTGTGATACATCTTGGATATATCCGCGTTGATAGCCACTTCATTTTCTCGAAATCGTAGGAGAACTCCAAACAGATTATTTAGTAAATCGGGTCCTTTCATCCAGTAATCATTTAAGCGGTGCCCTTTATACGATGCTGAGGAATTGAAAACAATTCGGATGGGGGTGCTCTTCTTCTCGGGTCTGACTACCTCATGGTGGGATATGTAGTGGGTTGGTCCCTTGTATGACTTTAATTCTTCACTTGATAATTTTCGAGAGAAGTTCATTTCACTCATTTCCCTCATCTGCTTGTCATACGCTTCTGCATGATCTGGGTTCTTGGCTAATCGACGCTCGGTTGTTTCCAATTTCTTCTCCGCTTGGCTTCTGTTATCCGGTAATTCAGATGCATCTTTGACCCAGGGGTATGAAACTAACCATTTATTACCAATCTTTTTGCAGGATTGTTCTATAATCTTGGCTTCGTAGGCTTCAACTGGACTTAACTTCTTGCTTTCACAAGAACACATATTCCCTTCCACGCCCATTGATTCGGTGGTCCAAAAGTCGGTCATATCGATGGGATTTGAACACTTGACATGGTAGACTTGACTGACGTCACACTTTTCAGACGTGGCTCCAAAGACAACCCATCCCAATGGCGAATATCTTGCAACAAGATTACCAGCTTCTTTTGTCTCACCAGTGTGCAACTTCGGTTGATCAATTCCCAACAGGACATCTATTGGACCATTCTCTCTTCGTAATTTCTCTCTTTCAAGGTTGAAAGCTTCAGCTATGCCATCAAGTTTCATTCCGGAAATATCACCACTGATACTTGGGATTCCCACAGCTGCAATTGTGTGGATGGACTGGTTCTCGAGGGATCGAATTTGGAATCGATACATCTTTGTTGACATCTCATTTTCTTCTCCTCCAACTTTCGCCATTGTTACTGTGACACTCTTGCCTTTGAGACCCAGCTCCTCAGCGACTGATGTCCGTATTAAACTGATTTGAGCACCAGTGTCTAGTAACATATTAGCCTGTTTCTTGACCTTCTGTGGTCCCAGGATTTCTGCCTGAATAGTCGGTAACATAGTCTCTCCGCTAGTAGTAACAGATGACACAGCAGATATGTTTAAAATATGCAATAGTGGATGATGGTAATGCTTGCACTGAACTCCGCTGATGGTCTCGCTGCACTGGCGCCTTCGAGAGCAGGTTGACATGTTGTGACCACGACCAGCTCGCTTCAGGCAGCTATAACAGGCATGGTTCTCCTTCACAACTTTCAGGCGGTCGCTAGCACTCTGGGCAAGGAACTTTTGGCATTGGTCGGTCCAATGTTCAGACGTTTTGCAGAACCAGCACTTATGGTTTGTTGGCTTCCCATCTTCTTTTCCAGTAACATGTCCAACATGCTTGGGTGACTGCCATGAGCTTCTTAATGGTGCCGTTGCTCTCATTCTCGACTTCATCTCACTTGTCATCCAGGAAATTAACGACTCCAATGTGGCTTGACTCTTTGAACTCTCCAAATAGCGTGACCAGACTTTGCGATCGTCGGTAAACATTTTCTGTTCAATGATAGCCAGCATGTGGTTGTTATCCATGTCATTCTCCCGTCCTACTTCTCTAAGGGTGTTGAAACTCCGCTTTATTAAATGGACCAAGTCGCAAAACCGGGCATCTTCTCCGTCCTTTATTGGCTTAAACTTGGAGATATCGTGAGTGATGATGTCAGCAACAAATCGTGGATCTCCATACACGGAATCGAGATATTCCCATGCGGCATCATAGTCTTGACCAATTCCCTTGATCATTTCCAGCGGTTTTCCTTGGAGACTAGACCTCAGAATGGTTATTGCATCACGTTTACTGTATCTATTTTCCACCAAGTGCTTAAAGTCCGCTCTAAAAGTTCCAAATTCTCTGACGTCACCAGTGAATTTTGGCATCTTTGGCTTCTCAATTCGAAATAGGCTTTCTCCTTTGCTTATATGAGTTGCTGTCTCCGCGGTGTTCTCAGTTGTGTTGAACGATGAATCATTAATAGATGTGCTGGGTTGTACAGGATGACTTTGGGTTTCTTGAGCTACTGGTGCTGATATCTGGTTGTCTTGATTTTCTTCATTCGGTATCGATGCATGACTTTCTTCGCCGGCCGGGATTTCGTTAATTTGTTCTTCATTCGACAAGTTCTCTGCGGGAGTATTTACGCTTCCGGTTTCGACAGTATTTTGTTTCATCTCTGATATTTTCGTCTGTTGCTTTATATAATCTTGCGCGTCAATTTTTAAGCGCAGAAAGGTTTCCTGGCATTGTTCAATATATCGTTCTTCCTCATTGAACTGTTCGTCATCTTCGATTAGCATTGTCACTTCTTCGTGTTTGGCTTCCAGGTCGGCAAATGCGTGTTCATAATTATCAAGCGCCCTTTGAACCTCATCGGTCGAACGTTTCCCCTCGATTTGGACTATTATAACTTTCCCGAGCCGTGTTAATGCTGCTTTGCCGTTTCGTCGTTTCATCTTAGCTTTCTTAAAATCGTCGCAATTGCCGTCTTTCGATGTCATATTTTCCATTGTCGTTTTACAGTATAATTCGTCTCAAATTCCTTCGAACCGTGGTTAGCAAGAAATCGAATAGTGTTTCGTCGGAACCAAGACGACCGGTTAGCAAGTAATCTCAGACATTAAACCAAAGAAGTCTCGCAAATCGCATTATAAATTATATAATAACAATTCGATCTAAATAGAGCAAATTAATACAAAGAAATATTAAAGTAAACATGCATATAAGCCTATAAATGTTCGCACGTGTGGCGTATAAATTACCCATACAATGCATAAATTCTGCGTAAACAAACTAGAATATAAAGTCAATGTCTTACTTCTGTGGCGAGATCCTTTAGCTGTCTATTTCATCGTTTATCGTTCAGGTTAGCCCGTCTTTCTTTCATTTACTTATTTAACAAAACATGCGTTATATTTACACCTTTTCCGTCTCGCTGTGCGTCTATATGCTAATGCTATGATTGCTATTTGATACCTAATATTGTCATCATAGTTTCAAAGTTCAATTATAATGAGTTCCATTCGTGTCTACGCACGTGTATATAAACTGTCAATCCAGTATGGTAACCGGTGCTCTAATTGGTTTTGGAAAGGCGATCGCCCTTTTTGTGCACTGAAATCCATTCATCCCGTTTCCAGTCCAACGGTCACACTCCATGTCGGATTACTTTATTGTATAATGCATTAAGCTTGCCTCCTCCGCAGGCATCTCTTATGTATTTATATTAGGCATTTATAATTGGCTTTGGTTAGCTTTGTCGGGGAGCGAGAAAAAAAATTGCTGATCTCTCCCACTTTTTCCTCGCCTACCCCGACACAGCTAACCCAAGCGAAATATAAATGCCTAATATTAATACATAAGATATGCTTGCGGAGGAGGCTAGCATTAAGCATAGTAGAGACTTCTTCTGCTATCTTTCGTTAAGCAATAGGAGGTATAATATCGGGTCCTGTAGCCTTGTTTGGATTTAGCTCTTGGTTTGAATAGCCAACAACATTCCATCATAATCAAATTAATTTTAATGTAATAAATATATCTAGTTATGTTAGTCATTAAGTTAATAAAAGGATACTGTACGAGTGACTGCTAATCAGTTAAGCGTCAGGAGAAGTACGAGATAGAACGAACGGTTGATTTACAAATAGTTGTGTTAGACAAAGTCCTACGGGGATCCACCCTTCAGGTACTGAACTTTATCTGTTTGCATGTATGTTTGTAGTGTGATTAGTGTTTATGTTAATGTTTAAGTTTAGTTTGATTCATCGTATGAACTAAGAAAATGATTGGAATGCATGTATCTTTATACCTTTTACTTATATATAGTTAAACTTAATCTTTTCTATAGAATACATTTTCAATAAATATTAAAGAAATTCCCGTTCGACTTGCGTTTAAAGTAGCAGTGCCAAACAGCTCTCGTAATGAACCCAAAACGTCAGAACATGTAATCTCTCTAAAGCTGAATAAATTATCGTACCATTTATCTTGAATTTTACTACGCTACTAGTTGTGTGTAGGGTATTGAGCGTTGCATTTCAATACATGAAATCGGTGCTGTTATCAGAAAAATCCATAACTTATCTACTCGTTCAATATATCAAAAGAAGATGGCAGCAGTAATTGAAAATGTAAACATGTCTTAATATGTACCTCTCCAATAGCGACATCTCTCTGATATGAACATTTAAGTCAAGTCCGGAATTGCAAAGTTAACCCATCCCCTGCTAATGATGTGATTTATTGCAAGTGCGTGAAGAGATAAACAATTGTGATATCAACAGCCCGTGTAACTCAGATATATTTACTAGTCAAGGCCCTGTAAAGGAGTTTGTGTGCATTTCATGCAAAACAGGTTATCTCAATTGTTTTCGGGTAAAATGACCATGGCGGTCATAACCGCCATAGCTCTAAATCCTGAATTATCAAAGCTACAGTCTTTCTGAATTGCTTATATGGTTCATAATGGTTGCTTTTAGGGGTGGTCACTGGAGGGTGAAATTATCATCAGTTTTATATTTTACAAGCAAATTATGTTTACCATTCCAGGTCAACTGCTAATTAGGCATAAAATTACTGATTCACCCGGAAAAGTCTAATTTTTTCTATTTTCTAAAAATGTTCGCCATATGATGAAAAAAATGCTTTTAATATATTTATTATAAATTTCCAAAGAAATAACGATGTTTTGTTGCGATACGACATATTTCATTTCACTTAACCCCCCTAAAACACAATTTCAGCCATATTTTGCAAATTTAATCGCTGTTTTTCGTCGTCCGTCGCAAGCGCCTTCTAAACATGGTACTCTAACACGACTCTAGTTTACTAAAGAATTCTTTTCGCCATTGATTTCATCAATTATGTCGCCATTGCAATGGCATAATCCTCAACAACTCCACCAAGTCCACCTTCGTTAATCAAGCCATTTTCAATATTGTAGTAAATCACATCTGTAAGTCAAAAGCAATTGCTTGTCAATACAAAACAACTTTATACTGAAATATGTAAAGTAGAATGGATATTAGAATAAAAACAAATTAAAAAAAATGTTCGTGATATTTGTAGCAATACAATCGACTTGCAAACTTCAACAAATGTTTTAATTCCCATCGACAACTCTGGTGACGGGTTGCAAATTTTAAGGTTGGGAAGGTTTGACTTGGCTTTCTTTGATAATTTTCCACTTGGTGAGTTTTTCTCTCCAAATGTTGCACTTTCTCTTCATGTCGCAGATGTTTCAAAATATAAAGTGATTTTTTTTATAGAGATGAATGAAAGAGTGCAATGGAATAATGGTTTTCAGTCGAGGCCTAAAGGAGAAGTCTTTCAGCACTTTTTGTAAATAGTATAGCTAGTAATTTTCAATAAGTGACCGTAAGTAAGAACGGGTTCAAACGGCTCACTCCTTTCACTTACTTGCGAATGCCACTACAGAGAGAAAGATACATAAATATATGCGAGTGAATAATACTGATTATTACTGAAAATGAAAAAAATGAGGAATGATCTAGCAACGGCTTCAGCCAGTGCTTCTTCTCTCAGCAATAAAAAACTCCATAATTCGAAACTCGCTAAAGTGCAAAATTAATGTTTCGAAGTTTTCTGAGCGTCATTTAGTAATACCAGCAAAGTGGTGTTCAAGGTTTTGAAGTATACGATACTTCATCAAATTTAGATTAAAATTTAAATTACAATTAATGTATCCTACCTTTCATTTGTGCTATCGGAAACTGCAGTAGAACGAGATTGAAGCTATAAACACAAATTGAAAATACCAGTTACGGATTTTTGTTAAGCGTTGCAAAGTATTCTACAAACATCGTGCTTATAAAATGTCTCAATATTTTGAACCATGTTTCATGGTATTTGTTTTCAAGAAATAATAGATGGACAGAAGAAACAAAAATGAGGCTCACATCAAATCTCATAGTTGGAGAAAGAATAAAATTAGACCTCTAGATGTCACCCAACCAGGTTGATCTTTTTTGTTATTTTCGGAATAATTTTATTCATAAAATTTTATCATGTTCGCTCTCTGTTGTCATTTCCTACCATCTGTTGAGACCTCTGTGCCGCTAGGCAAGCTACAGCGAAAGAGCACTGGCTTCCACTGTGATATCTTATCTGTGAAGTCTTATCAATGCCCGTTTCGTTGAAGAAACGATGAACCAAGATTCAACTTCGCGTCATAAAATCTTTGAAACATCAGCCCGACTTTCTTCATATTTCAACTGAAGGCATTTCCGTGAAGTACTTTAGATAAAAAAGTCATTTATATCCGGATTGGGTTCCTCCTCCAGGGCAAGAGTCGTGCATTGACCACGTGATAACGAAACATTCTGAGCTCATCAGTGAAGGATGAACAATTGTAAAGGTTGTATTGCAACTCATAAGAATTACCAAAGGATATATTTTGTAAAATCTATTATATTACGAGCGTCTTTCTTAAGTCTAGCGACCTACATTGTTCCGGTACCGCATGAGAAACTCTAGCTCGAATCCTCTTGATCTGACGTATTCTTTGTAACCAATTACAGCCTAGGTATCTGTAGTTTTCTTCTGATTTTGGTGAATAACTGACGCAATCTTAAAAAGAAAAACATTCGTATACCGTCAATATCACATCCGGACATTTAAATTGCCCTAAGTTACTGACCAAATTTATTTAACATGCATTGCAATATGACGAACCAACTTCGACAGGTTTTTATCGGAAATAACTCTAGGGCCATAATTTGTATTGTTTAGAATATCCCTGAGTTCATCTTTAACGTTCAAACACACGATATTACTGTCGTTATCAATGGAAATGTCAAATACGTTCCTAAGAGCTTTCACTAGAAGAATATTAAAACTTGGTCGCTCTTGCAAATATATTTTGTTGTTTAAGCATGAATACGCTGGGCAGACAGTGTATGCCAATTTAAACAATGATACTGAAAGAATTTTCCTTACCTGACTAATTGAGGCCTCGTTTTTGTTTCTCTTAAGCTCAACTTTTAAAACCTCAGGCTCCGTGCCCTTCTGCAGTGAATCATCTCACACAAACACTTTTCCTGCCGAACAATATGCGCATGACATGTTCGAAGTTGCCCGCTTGTTGACCGTAACCGTGATAACACATTGCCAAGCAACCAACTTCTTGACGCTCCATTGCGCAGGAGTCGTTCAACAACTGCAGTTCTATAAAAACAACAAAATAGTCATCTTCCCTGAAACACAGTGCAGAAAAATACGAAACCAACATACAGACCTTTTTGGTTGGGTCAAATAAGAAGAAAATGTATATTTGACCATCATATCACCCACGATTTCCATCATCTCTGAACTAAGTGTGTTGCTTGAGTCTTCCTTTGATTTCTCAAGGGAGTTTGGGAGTGAATGGAATTTGGTGGGGGGATTAGTGACTAAGGGTATGGGTTTGCAGCATCTGAAGATATATCTGCGTTGTTAAGACTCTAAAGGAATACAAGGACAAATGATTGAAAACGAGCTTGCATATAAGCAAAATTATGTAACATGAAATGGACAAGTTTATGTAACAACACTGCCTAAGCTGTATAAAGTTTAAACACCACTTCTTAATATCTATTGAAAATTTAGCAAGCAATCTCCGTGGCCATAGAATGACATGTGGACTTACTTTTGTAATCAATGGCACGAATTGTTTTCTTAACAACAGTGGACAGTTGACAAACCAGGATGAAATGACATTATCAGCAAGAGTTACCGTGTATTGAGAGTATCTAAGGTGAAACATATCAGTTCGTTTATATTTTATTCAATTTCACAAAGCCAATAATATAAAGTTTGAGATGTTATCGCGTTAAACAAACCTCGATGATGCTGTGTGAGGCAAACATATTCCAATGACTTGTTTCAAATGGATCGCTGTGAAGTTTTTGTACTAATCACGAAGCTTTGACAATGCTATTTAAACGTTTTAAAAGAATGTTAGCAACTTTTCGTCGAATACGATTGAGTGTTTATACAACCTAGCTCTCCTTAGGGGGTACATTGATATTTCATAAAAGATTTCTTAATTTCTGTAACTTCAAGAAA